GCACTCCTTTGAGAGACGTAGAGCGAGGGGCGACCTGATAGAGGTGTATAAGTGGAAGGCAGGGCTAAACAAAGGGGACATTACAAAGGTACTCAAATTATCCAACCAGGAGCGAACTCGTAACAATGGTTTTAAATTAGACAAATTTAGATTTAGGCATGAAATAGGTAAACACTGGTTTGGAAACAGAGTAGTGGATGAATGGAACAAGTTACCAAATATCATCATTAACTCGAATATGCTGAATTGCTTCAAACATAGGTTGGATGCTCATATGAGCAATAGGGGTTGGGTGTAAACGGGACTGCCCATTATGGGCCAATAGGCCCGCTGCAGTTTCCTCCATTCTTATGTTCTTATGTTAAACTTCACCACGAATTATTCTCCTACCAATAGCCTTCCTTTGTCGAATAATGTTTTTTAGATAATTATTTATCCATTTAGGGTCATTGTTGTTTCATCTGAGTTTTCTTTATGGTATGTTCTGCCTTTGTGCATTAAGAAACTCATAATTTAAATTGTTGTGGAACTCGTCAACCTCAGATCTCATTATCAGGCCATCCTCTACTGTCAGGTCTCCAGGTAAGGTGAGGTCTCCCTCTGTGGGTACACTGTGTGACTTGTGTGAGGACACCTCATGTGAGGTCAGGTAATTCACCCCCAAGTGTGATACCCTTTCTCTCAGCTTCTGCGTGGTGATCCTGTTAACAATGTTTCCTTAAAATTGCTAGAATTTATGAACCATGGAACTGGTGAGTCTAAATGGATCCAAACTACAGCTACACATATGAAGATGTTTGGACTAGACCATCTGTACAAAGTTGAGACACAACAGCGCTTCCTGCCACCCTGGCGGACAGTTCCCTTCGATATCACAATACCGACATATCCGCCTAAAAAATTAATTATACAAAGTATTTATCTCCAACACACTGCCAAAGTGAGAGCTCTTGAACATATACACACTCTACAGACTGATGATAATATCACACAACCATCTACACTGATGGATCTCTTAACACCGCCTGTGGGAGGGCTGGAAGTGCTATTGTTGTGACTCAACCTGGCGGTAATATAATTGAGAAAGGAGTTAGAATTAACAACTGGGCATCCACTATACAAATTGAATTAGTTGCCATATTCACAGCTATTAAATTCATTGAAACCACTGTCACTGACAGTCTCATCATCACTGACTCTCTATCCTCACTACTCGCCCTTGACACCCTCAACTCAAGTTGTCACCCGCTTGTCTCTGAAGCCAGACACAAATATGCGTACCTTGTTGACCGGGGTGTCAAGGTCAAACTGTTGTGGATCCCCTCTTACATAGGCCACATAAATCATGATAGAGTTGATGCCCTCGCCAAACTCGCGTCTAACAAAGACACCGTTGAATACAATTTGGGTCTGTCAAAAAGAACCCTTAAAGCTGAAATTAGGAAGCACTTATTGATGAATTTGACGCAAGTAGACAAGTGCAAACAGGCACTAGTCGATCTATAGTTTACCATGATGAGATGTATCAAGTGAAACATGTATATGGAGCAAGTAACAAGATCACTAGATTATAAGATGTTGTAACAGCTAGATTAAGGTTAGGATATAAGTACCTCTGGCAGTATGTTCCTCAAGCAGATGTAAACAAGACTAAATGTAAAGGGTGTGGCCAGACATATGGCCACACACTTGAACACTACGTCCTCGACTGTGTGAAGGTAGAACCTTTTAGGGACAGGTCCAAGCACACTGTGTGTGAAATGGAACAACACTTCATCTCTAATGGCACGATAGCCGACATATTAAGATTGTATCCACTTTTTTACATAAGAACATAAGAACATAAGAAAGTGGGATACTGCAGGAGGCCGACTGGCCCATACAGGGCAGATCCCTTTCACACCCATCCCAGCACTTCCATGTGCCTATCCAACTTCGTCTTTAAGCTCCCTAGCGTCCCCGATCCTACTATAGCACTCGGTAGCCTATTCCACATATCCACAACTCTATTACCAAACCAGTGCTTGCCTATATCCTTTCTGAATCGGAATTTATCTAATTTAAAGCCATTTGTTCTAGCTATTTCGTTATTACTGAGCTTCAGAACATCTTCCGTTTTACCCTTCTTAATCCCACTTACCCACTTGAACACCTCTATCATATCTCCCCTAACTCTACGCCTCTCTAATGAATGCAAGCCTAAGCTTTTCAGTCTTTCTTCATATGGAAGGTTTCTAATATTATGGATCATTTTTGTCATTCTTCTTTGTACTCTCTCCAAAGAATCTATGTCCATTCTATAATAAGGACACCAGAATTGAACCGCATAATCCATGTGTGGCCTCACTAATACTAGGTAAAGTTTCAAGATAACGTCAGCAGTTCTGTTACTCACACTCCTAGATATGAACCCAAGAATCCTGTTTGCCTTGTTGCGAACGCTAATACATTGTTTTCTAGGTTTCAAGTCGTTGCTAACAAATACACCTAGATCTTTTTCACAATCTGAGTTTTCTATTTCCGTGTGACCTAGTTTATACTTAACGTTTGTATTCGTCTTCCCTATCTGTAGTACCTTGCATTTATCAGTATTAAAATTCATTTGCCAGTCTACTGACCACTCATGTAAGGTATCTAGATCTCTTTGAAGGTGTTCAAATTCACTGTCTGAATTTATCACTCTCCCCATTTTGGTATCATCTGCAAATTTACTAATCCTACTAGTTATACCTAAATCAAGATCATTAATGAATATAACAAACAGCAGAGGGCCTAATACAGATCCCTGGGGAACTCCGCTTTTGACCGCACCCCAGTCTGACTTAAATCCATTTATGCTGACTCTTTGTTTCCTACCAGTTAACCATGACCTAATCCATTTTAATAATGATCCACCTATTCCATGTGCTTCTACCTTCCTTATCAATCTCTCACGAGGGACTCTGTCGAATGCTTTACTGAAATCTAAATAAATTATATCATATGACTTATCATTATCTACCACTTCATATACTTCTGAGAAAAAGCTAAGCAAATTTGTGAGACAAGAACGTCCCTGGGTGAACCCGTGCTGAGAAGAATGAATTGAGTTGAATGTTTCAAGGTGGCTTCTGATTTTTGTAGCAATAATTGACTCTAGCAACTTGCCTATGATTGACGTGAGACTACGGGAGCAATACGTAACTGAATCTAGCTATTTGA